GCTATATAAATAGTTTATTTACAGATGGCCAATTAATCACATGTTATATTGACATTTTGAATAGTGATAAATCCTGGAGCTTGCTTACAATTAAGTCTATCGCAAAAACCTTTACGACAATATCTGACAAAGTGAACAGTAAAACCGACATTTATATTACGTTTTTCTTTTCTTTGAAAACACGATTTAAATATTCAATAAACCCATTAAATGCAGCATGATATGGTTCGAGGTTATTTTCTTTAAAATTCCTATCTCGTGCTGCTCTTTTAACAACGAGAAGAAAATACAAAACACATTTAAATGCGTTTGCTACAAATAAAAAAGAGTAAGCGGACTTGTTTGAAATCTTTTTAAAAGTGATAAAACGGGAAAATAAAGTTTGCTAGATAAACTCTGATTACCAGCTAAAAAATGTTTTTCTCAGTTCATTGATAAAAACGTCTATAAATGGATATATTTTGATCTTCTTTTCTATAACAGAATAAATAAATATATTGAGCACATTTTGATATGAACGATTTTAATAATGACAATGACTTGTGACATAAATCGGGAGAAACTTTACGAAATGACAGCAGAATGGCAGAAGAAATAGTTGAACGAGACGTTTCTAAAGCAAAGAAAGAGTTTATTTTTAGAAATCGGAAAAACAAGACTGAATATCATAGCTTGCAGATGGATCGTGTTTAACTCAAATTCGCTTTGCCACCCAGGATACTTACACTGTATAAAATGAAATTTTACCGTATGTCTTATTCAGACTTTTAAGACACCGTTTATTATTCTATAACTATGAATATAGGGACAACATATTGTACCAATTACATTTCAAGATTTGTAAGAAAAATAAAATCGACAGTCGTAAAACTTGGTTTTTAGTTATGCTATCACAATCTGATGGAACAAACAAAAAAGGTTTATCTTTCTACTTATACGGCTAATCATTTCCTACTATCTCAGAGTCGTTCTCATAATATATGAGAAAATATGAAGTCTACATTCACGGTCTTGTCAAAAATAAGCATTTAGTAGACTCAGATGAAAAGCGTGCTGCATAAGCAGTTAGACAACAGTAAAACTCCGAATGAAGAGAGAAGTATTGATCACTTTCAAAACCACAATATTGAGTTGCATGCTGTATTTTTTCTTATTCTGACTAACGAATCTTCCTTTTCTTTTTAACTTTCTTCTTGTCTCTCCCTCACTAACGAAAATTCTTTTCTCAGCAAAGAAATAAACAGTTTATTTCGTTCTCAAAGTTCTCCTTAAAAAATGGCGCCGGTAACAAAATGTATGAAAAACTTCAAAGTCTCAAAGACATTTTCCGTTAACTTCTCCCATTTTAGGGCGCAGAATGTAGACAACTGCTCGAAAAATGAATAAGCATTAGTTAATCTCGAATATATCAAGAACAATATCCCGTTTTCAGAACTTTTCTAAGTAGCGTAGTTCTCTAGATCATAAGGCGCACATTTTACACAAGACAGCGACCAAAGAAAAACTAGGTAATACTCAGATCCTTTGCCAGAATAAACGCATACGTCCAAGTAGTAGAATGAAATCTTGCCTATATATAGACCGAGAATATATGTCACTAGAATTAGCATGGTCGATTACCCATATTCCATCCGTTTTCAAGGCGATCAATAGTCACCGGGCGCCAGTCCTGAGACTCGTCGAAAATCCGATACAACGTCCGAACTGTGGAAAATCAAGGTCTCACTTCACTTTCATTCGGAAGAGGACACTCCGAGCTACCAGTTTGCAAAAAAAAGCAATACAATCCTGTTGAAAACTTTTTGCAGACAGCCTGGTTTTCCAAAGATCTCCTGGAAAATCTATTTCAGGAAACTCTTCTGCAAACAACTTTTGTTATAAAAACATACCTCCAAGTCGTCTCTTTTGAATGGTAGGAACCGTAGACCGCTATCTTTTCTATCAGAAGTTATTCAAAAAACAACCGAATACCTTGAATTTTAACGCCAGTAGTAGTGTATGGAGTGGTCAATTTGTCATAGAATCACTATGTTATAGAAACTAATAGAACTTGGAAGAAAATACGAAATATGCCAAAGAGAAAAAATTGACTTTTAATTTTCTTTGATTTAGATGGCAAATGATATAAACCATGTTTAAAACTAGCATTCACCGAAAGGCATCAAACATATAAAACTTCCGCATGCCGGGAAATATTTTGGAAGGAGGCAATAAAATTTTTAGTGGCACCTTCAAAACTTACTTGCCTATAGCTAAGGATCTCATGTCTTGCCGAAGTTGTAATCCGCTCAACTTTACAGAATACTTTTCTCGACTGTTGATGGATTTTTGCTAACTTTTCTCTGAAGATATTGCAATCAAGATCTGCATTCGATTTGTTGGAGAATGAGGCGCTATTGAAGATTTAAATATTTTGAGCAAGATCTTTAAAAGATTTGAAAATTTTTCTGAAATTAGCAAAATCACCTCGTTTTTTAATAAGTTTTAATAAGTTTTACCATGACAAATTTTCTCTTGGGGATTTAATGTTTCTATCTTTATTCTTTCTGTTCATTTCTGTTATACCCACTATAAACGGAATTTTTCTCCAATGTTAAACAAAACGGAAGAAAACTTCAGTATTTTTTCTGTGTTTCTAATCCTTTTTGAAAAAATCACGTTTTTCCAGTTTTTTCTATAAAAGGAACGCGTTTTCCACCGTTTTTTAAAACGATAAAAATTTCGCGTTTTGTTGAGACTTCTCTCGTAGGAAAGGTTTCAGTAAGTAGTCACATTATAGTCACTTGTATTAGGAAATAAACTCACGAAGAGGCAATTCCGTTTACATACACCATTTCCAGTTCTAAAATTCTTAGCTATTCCTGTATGATCCTACTAGAGTCCTAAAGAATCCTAATATAATCCTATGAGATCCTATTGTAGAATTTCTTGACCTAATTGGAGGCGGTAAATTCGAAAACCTTTAAACTTTTTCATGAAAGATTGCAAAGATATGGAACTGGCTCAAATTCTAGAAGACGCTTCATTTGTCAAGTAATATGCATAGCTCAATTTTGAAAATTCGGTAAAATACCCTTTGGTTGCTTTTGGTTCTAGATATAAAATACCATTTGCTTTTGGTTCTAGATATGGCGCCCATGTACTTCTCAATTATGGTTTGACATATAACTGGTATTTGATCTCAGAATAAAAGTAAGAGCGGTTGTTGTTTTATGGTTCGCGTGTGAATATTACCGATAAGGTAACGCTTGTCGTATGTGAAGAAAACATTCACGCTCGAACTTTCAGAGAATAACCCGAAGATATGATCGCAAGGATCAGTTCGTTACTAGAGCCAATCTAATATCCTGTGAATGAGGCGGAGTGGCTGAGCCCCGATCCTCTGTGCGTCAAACAGAACCGAACTGCGTCAAACAGATACTCACAATTGTTATAAAAAACATCAACCTTTGATGCGTTTCTCACTTCTGTGCATTTTTATTTCAAAACCTTTGCACAGTAAACATCGACTGAGAAAAGAAACACAGAAAAAGTCCTTAGATATAGTACATTTTCTGAGAAAAGCCCGTTTCTAATATACCCAACACGTTAAAAGAAAATTCCAATTGTGTAACAGTAAAATAAAAAGGATTTTCTATGTCCCTATTCTCTCACTCACTGCAACTGCCGTGTACTTTCTAGGTAGATTAGTTATTTTTTTGCTTTAATTCTGCTTTAGAAAAGTTAAAATGCAGATTAAACTGCAAAAAGTTCGAGTATAAACATGGTCGCCACACCATCATTTTCAGAAATAAGTGCCTTATGTAACAGACACTGCTTTTTCGTCTCGTCTGAAATAATAAGAAAAAAAAAAAAAAAGAAGCTCTAAGAAATTACCAAAAAGCGGTAAAACTGTTACCAGACCCTCATGCATGGTTACAAAAATTAAAAAAGAATATAATAATTGTATTGTATAATCGACACGAATGGTTTTAGCAAAAGAGAAACTAAAATGTGATTAAAATCGACAACAGAAGCTTTTAGATACGGTACTTAAATCGACACTTGAATACTGTTTATAAATCTTTAGCTTTTAGCTTACAAGGTTTTTGGTTTTGCAAATTAGTGTTTTATAGCAAATAGACTGCATGCCATTGTGCCATTGTGCACTTCTGCATTTCTCGAAAAGTTCAGTTCTTAGAATAAACGGACTAAATTCTCAAAAGCTGTGAAGGGAAAGAACAGTTCGTAATATATTGTTTTTCCATAAGTGAGTTATTTTAGTTTGTTTAATATTTTGTTTATTTAATAATACTCACTGTTGCTCTTGAGCTTCTATTGCTTCATTTCCTTTTCTTTTGCCTTCATGCAACTGTGAATTTACTAATGAGAAATTAAAGGTTGTTAAATCAAATGAGTAACCCGGTACACCTCGTGGAAGAAACATAGAACCATCGGACCATGTATACCAAAGATCTGTCAAACCTTTCAATACTTTTCAACGTGCGCTACCATGTCGATATGTTAATCTTGTACACAAATATGAGATTGAGATGCTGTTAATTTAATTTTGATTATGAATCATTTTTTCCGTACACATACATATGGAAGTCTATTGATGAAACAACAAATACTCATGAAAAAGTCTAAAACCTTGATGCTTTTTTTGTTATTAGTGACGGTTATACAGAAATCCACACAAACAAGAAAAGGCTGTCATCTTTGTATGAAGTGGTGGGCTTTTTTCTGTGAGATCTACTATATGTGGACGGCCTTTTTTCCAGAGACGCAAATAGTATAAGAAAAATCCTAAATTGTTCATTGTCAGCTCAAAGCTACAGAAATAAGAAGGAAAAAATTAATTTAGAGCTTTTGTTGTAAATTTTGTAACTTTGCAAAGAAAGATCGTGTAGCGCTGAGAGATGTCTCATTTAATCAAAACTTTTCACGCTATAATCATGCTTCGTTAAGAAAGGTTTTGGTTACTTTTTGGAGTTTCTGAAACACTGGTTTTCCAGAAAATGGGACCTTCGAAGGCCTATGAGGCACCTCCATGGTCAAATTCGGAACCAGCATGGTCGATAACCTATAATCCACTAGATTTCGACCAAAAAGCATCACCTCAGGAAGTTGCCACATAAGCACAAAAGACACCATCGCTGCTGTGCGATAGTAATGAATTTTTGTTGTCCAAATAACAATCTATTTAAATCTAAATTCACGCACAATTTCTAAAAAAGGTATTAGTTTTTAGTCTGAAGGTCAGTTACGAAAGTTGGAATTTAATTAACATTTAACATATACTTCACAAAAATGAAACTGCAGCAGTTTCGATGATAGCTGTGAAAAAATAAAGTTTGATTCACTTCCCAAGCATGAAAAATGTATCGGGTATCGCCCGATGCAGCTAGATATACTAGATACAAAACGCGATACATCTAGATGCATAAAAAAGAGAAAAAGCTGAATTGGCTTATCGGCCGATACATCTAGATAAAGCCGATTCTTTTCTAGATGTATCTAGTTATGTATCTAGTAGCGATTTTAACCCGCTTCATCGGGATGAATTGGAAGATGAATCTAGTTGTATATTGGCTGCAGATGAGACACGCGTGAAATTGCCCGATAAAGCTGCCGATACATCGTACAATGTATTGGGCGATGCATCGTGGGATATATCGATCGATTCATCTGCTTGAACACCGGTTTAAGTCAATTCCATTCCATCCTATCGTTAAAATCGAGGG